CAGCCTACACAGACTATAGCATATAAGTTTGACAGCGACGGGGCCGCTGAATGGCGGCGACGGGGCCGCTGAAAGGGCGGCGATGGGGCCGCAGAAAGAGGCGGCGACGGGGCCGCTGAAAGGGCGGCGATGGGGCCGCGGAAAGGGGCGGCGACGGGGCCGCTGAAGGGTGGCGTCGGGGCCGCTGAAGGGCGGCGACGGGGCCGCTGCAAGGGGCGGCGACGGGCCGCTGAAAGGGCGGCGACAGGGCCGCTGAGAGGGCGGCAACGGGGCCGTTGAAAAGGGCGGCAGGCGGCGACGGGGCCGCAAGGGCGGCGCGACGGGGCCCTAGGACGGCGCGACGGGGCCACTAGGGGCCGTGAGAGAGGCCGCTATAGGCTACTAAGGGGATCCACACGAGGCGCGACTCGGGCAGGAGCTAAGCGCGCTCCGGGCAGGAAAAAAAAAGTTGATATTCGGTGGGCCCTAGGAACAGTTCCCACGAGGGAACCTGCTCTATACCATGTGAAGATTAGAACGAGAATGAATGACTAAGGAATGAAAGAGATACAAATATGAAACCCTAGAATTGTGTACCCCTTAGTGTCTAGCCCGCTACAGCCTACACAGGCCAAATCATATAAGTTTGACACTGTCGACCTCACGCCACGTCGCGACTTCACTTCTTTGATCGGGACCTCCTCGACGACGCTGTCGTCGGACTACTCCCGTGCCGACAACTCCCCTTTCTTGCCACCAAGGACCTCTACGACGTCGCTCGACGCGCCATCGTCGAGCTGATCCAGGATACTTGGCTCCCCTGCCGACTTCGCCTCTGCCGACTCCTCTGCCGACTTCCCTGCCACCTTCTCCTCTGCCGACTCCTCTGGCGATTTCGTCTCTGCCTACTTTGTTGACTTCTCCTCTACTGTTGGTGGCTTTTGCACATGGCCGCCGAGGTGCATTTCGTCACGTCGGGCCGCTAGCGATGCCACTGGCGGGCGCCGAAGGCGACGCAACAATCCTCCCCTCGTCGCCGGTGGCCGACATCGACGCCGTCTTTGGCAGATGAGCGGCAAGAGGCAGAGGGGAGGTAGAAGTGGGAGTAGAGGGAAGAGGGGTCGTCGTCGACAAGGGATCCGTCGTCGCAAAACTGGGCAGCGCTTCGCCTTCAACACCTCCAACGACATTGTTTTGTAGAAGATGGCTTCTACGGTCGTCACCACCTTGTTGTCGGTGAGGTCGAGCACCTCCCAGCCCTTGCTCTCCGGTGACACACCTATATGAAGCCCCCAGCGGGCCTTTCCCACCATGCTGCTGCTCGGGGACCATGGACTGCACCATGCAGCCCCACAAGAGCGCCAGCGTCAGGTCCGGTTTCTTATCGAACAGCAGCTTGTGCGGCATTGTCCCCTAAGGCAGAGACGCCCGTTCAAGGCAGTTGCGCACCCAGAGAGCCTGTTGAAGAGCAAGGTGCCACCAGTGGTGCTTCACACCAATGTGAAGCAGCATTTTCCGCACAGTCTCAACGACCGTACACATCTCCCGCTCCGCCATCCCGTTCTGCTGCGGAGTATAGGGGCACATTAGGTTGTGAAGGATGCCCTTGTCTTTGACGAGGTCGGTGAAGGCTCGACCCAAGAACTCCCCTCCGCGGTCGGAACGCAACATTTTCATCGTCTTCGATGTCTTCCTCTCTACCACCTTCAACCACTTTTCGCAGACGATCAGCACATCGCTCTTCTTCGCGATCGGACTTACCCACACGTAACGAGTCTTCCTGTCATTCAGCAGAAAAAAGTAGAGGCTCCCATCGTTGGCGGCCACTCGAAACAACCCCTAGAGGTCGATGTCAACCACGTCGAGCGCGTTCCCGGCATCAGATCATTGGTCGGGAAATGTATGCCGCGCGGGGTGCTGCGAGGGATGAGGCAAATAAAATCGTTTGCTGTGTTCCAAACCTAGTAGGCATGGAAACGGGTTTGGAGCCAAAATTGAGGTGTCACTGAAATCTCGAGAGTTGTCCAAAGTCACATATATCTTAAATTTGTTTGCAATTGGTGCTGAGGCAAAAGAGGACTGATCACGCCAACTTCCCTAGCCAACTAGTTCACATCGCCCACAAAGACAGGGTAACTCAGGCTTCTGTTGAAGATATTAGGCAGAAAGATTGAACACAAAAGAGGGGTTGCACTAGCAAGCAGTTGAGTACATATAGGAAACCCTAAATTGGGTTGTACTCGCTATAGAGTACCCCACTGCAGGCTAGACAAATACAACATTCTGACACACCCCCATAGCCAAAGTGGGATGTAATCAGCACAACAAGTAGACAGAGCAATAGTTCACAATAATAAGCAAAGCTAGAGGCTATCTTAGAGGGCAAGTGAGGAGGAGGAGAGACTGTGGGGGCGAGAAGATGGGAGGCGACGGCTGAAGCTACAGACACACTATAACGGCTGGCTCAGTGGCTGCCGAAGGAAAGGCCCGGACTTCAGGAGTAACTGGATCCGCGGCTACGCCGGAGATTGTAGCCTCCGGACTACTGGCGGCTGGAGCAACTGACCCACGGGCGACTGGCGACTACCAGAGATTGTAGCCTCTGGACTACTTGCGCTGCGGATGACAAGACGGCTACCTCCACTCAACCTCCCCCAGCTGTCCCACACCCCTTTCACAAACCCCCTGCTGTTCCTCTAGCACTGCACCCACGATACCCCCCTAGCGCCACGCCCGCGGCTCCCACACATCCACCCCCCTCATCGGCAGCTGCAGTAATGGGAGACGGAGGAGGAGGAGCAAGTGGCAACGCACACACCCGCCACCCCCATACCCGCCACCCCGCAGTTGCACAAGGGCAGGAGGCGGCAGGGGCGGCTCGCGGGCTGCAGGGGCGGTTCGCGGGCTGCAGGGGCGGGTCGCGAGCTGCAGGAGGGGCAGCGCGCGGGCCCCCGAGGGCGCCACGACGGGCGACGAGAGGGGGGGCCGCGCGCAGGCCCCCGAGGGCGCCTCGACAGGCGACGGGAGGGAGGCCGCGCGCGGGCCCCCGAGGGCGCCACGACGGGCGATGGGAGGGGGCGACGCGCGGGCCCCCAGGGCGCCGCGACGAGGCGACGGGAGGAGGCGACGCGCGGGCCCCCAAGGCGCCGCGACGAGGCGACGGGAGGGGGCGGCGCACGGGCCTCCAAGGTGCCGCGACGAGGCGACGGGAGGGGGGGGACGCGCGGGCCCCCAAGGCGCCGCGACGAGGCGACGGGAGGGGGGGACGTGCGGGCCCCCAAGGCGCCGCGACGAGGCGACAGGAGGGGAGGGCGGCGCGTGGGCCGACGGGGTAGGAAACCGCCGCGCGCCTCGGGGCGCACAGCGGGAAGAAAACCGCCGCACACCCCGAGCGCGCGGCGGGTAGAAAACCGCCATGCGCCCCGAGCGCGTGGCGGGAAGAAAAAACGTCACGCGACACGGGGCGCGCGACAGAGAGGACAGCAGCGAAAGCTAACGGTGGGCCTACAGGCCAGGAGCGTGATCGCTCTGATAGCATGTTGAAGATAGTAGGCAGAAAGTTTGAACACGAAAGAGGGGTTGCACTAGCAAGCAGTTGAGTACATATAGGAAACCCTAAATTGGGCTGTACTCGCTATCGAGTACCCCGCTGCAGGCTAGACAAATACAACATTCTGACAGCTTCAAGTGTTTTACAGTTGATGGCAAATTTCTTTTACTTGAGACACTGCCATAATTCACGAAAAAACACCTCATGAACTTCGAGACTCGGGTACGCCTATCGATGACGCGAAATTAGTATGTTGCGTTTTGAACTCATGTGCAAAGCACGCGTGCCACACGAACCCTGACACGTCCCGAATGTGTCAGGCTAAATTGTTGAATCTCAAATCGAATTTCCGATTTTACGTATTTCTAACGTGGTTACAGGAGATATTCTGGTAACAGGTACTAGAATGAATATAATCATTGGTTGGATGACACGCCCTAACATCCTACCAACCCACCCCCTGAAAGTGAACAGCAAAAACCCGAAACCCGAGGCGAGGAGGGCTTATCAGACAACATCGTTCGGATCCTTGCTCCTTTCTACCGCGTTCTGCACGGACGTGATACAAGCAGAGCTGCAGATCCAGCTACAGGCGAGCTTGTTATAACTAACTAGCGTGGATTGAGCCAGCATAAATTAAACTAGCGTGAACCAATTACGCCATGGCGGGCGGCGGCGCGAGGACGCAGAAGAACAAGGCGCACAAGTCGCGCTTCGGCGCCAAGAGCCAACGCGCGTTGCACAAGGTCGCCAAGGGTACGCCCGTAGTGCCGCCGGAAGTGTCGCCCGTAGTGTCGCCCGTAGTGCCTCCCGTAGTGCCGCCCGTAATACCGCTCGTCCGCTCGTTGCTCGCATTTAAGTCGCCTCAGCGGTCCATTCAATAGTTGACTCAAGCGTCACCAAGGGTGGGCTCCTATCGCTCGTCCGCTCGCCGCGCCTCTCTTGTGACGTCACCGCATCGCCATCGCTCGCTGCACCGCTTACGACGATACTCGCAATAACGAAATCGGCGTGTGAAACCGCGAGCGTCAGCGAAACCAGTCGAATATTTTTCCAGCCTCTAGCACCGCTCGTCACGCTACACCCACTCCCTCCCTGGCCAACGTTGCGCTGCTGCAACCCGATGCAACCCGTTGAAAACCCGTTGCAACCCGTTGAAAACCCGTTCGTTCTTCCGCGTTTTGCCCTCCAACCTGGACGTGGTTGGATCCCCCCAAATGTTTCCCCCAAATGCTTCCCCCAGATTCTTCCCCCCAAATTCTTCCCCCCAAAATGCTTCCCCCCAAATGCTCCCCCCCAAATGCTTTCCCTCAAATTCTTCCCCCCATATTCCGCCCCCAGCGTCAGACGGCGGAGCAGCAGGGGCAGCGCGCGGGGGCGCGAAGGGCAAGGGGAAGGGCCATGGCGCCGTCGCGAAGGCCGAGAGGCTCAACCGCAACAAGCTGGTACGATAGGGTTACCAGCAGTTCGCATGGCTGGAGTTTCGTATCCAGGAAACAGGGCAGGCCAGGAGAGCAGGGAAGCAGGCCAGATGGGTCAGGGGCAGGCTAAGAGGGAGGAGGGCTCACCAGGGGGGCAGGCTAAGGCTCGCAAGGGGGCAGGCCAGGGGGTCAGGCTAGGGGGGCAGATGAGGGGGGCAGATGAGGGGGGCAGATGAGGGGGGCAGATGCGGGGGGCAGATGAGGGGGGCAGATGAGGGGGGCAGATGAGGGGGGCAGATGAGGGGGTGGAGCAGCAGCCCCTGGCGGCGCTGGCAGTGGCGCATCAAGGGCGGAGCCACTCGCTGGTTGCTTTTCTTGTGCTCGTTGCAGTCTCCGGGATAACCCGAGGCGAGGAGTTTTGCGTCCAGAGGAGTGTCGCGAAGGTTCAGGGTTTAAGTCTTTGGCCGGTGAATGGGTTTTACACAACTAATATTCAAGATCCAGGGTTTAGGGCTCCTGTCGCCAATTCTTCTTCTCCTCTCCTATCGATCCCCTTCCCCCCTCTCTCCGTGTCCCTCCATCCCCGTCGTCACGAGCCACTGTGCTACCCGTACACCCTCCCTCCCTTCCCCAAGCGGGCGGACGTGCTGGCGGCCAAGAGAGCTCTATCTATCCGTTCATCCCTTCTATCCGTTCATCCCTTCTATCCGTTCATCCCTTCTACCCGTTCATCCCTTCTACCCGTTCATCCCTTCTACCCGTTCATCCCTTCTACCCGTTCATCCCTTCTACCCGTTCATCCCTTCTACGCGTTCATCCCTTCTACCCCCGTTCATCCCTTCTACCCGTTCATCCCTTCTACCCGTTCATCCCTTCTACCCGTTCATCCCTTCTACCCGTTCATCCCTTCTACCCGTTCATCCCTTCTACCCGTTCATCCCTTCTACCCGTTCATCCCTTCTACCCCCGTTCATCCCTTCTACCCGTTCATCCCTTCTACCCGTTCATCCCTTCTACCCGTTCATCCCTTCTACCCGTTCATCCCTTCTACCCGTTCATCCCTTCTACCCGTTCATCCCTTCTACCCGTTCATCCCTTCTACCCGTTCATCCCTTCTACCCGTTCATCCCTTCTACCCCGTTCATCCCTTCTACCCGTTCATCCCTTCTACCCGTTCATCCCTTCTACCCGTTCATCCCTTCTACCCGTTCATCCCTTCTACCCGTTCATCCCTTCTACCCGTTCATCCCTTCTACCCGTTCATCCCTTCTACCCGTTCATCCCTTCTACCCGTTCATCCCTTCTACCCCCGTTCATCCCTTCTACCCGTTCATCCCTTCTACCCGTTCATCCCTTCTACCCGTTCATCCCTTCTACCCGTTCATCCCTTCTACCTGTTCATCCCTTCTACCCGTTCATCCCTTCTACCCGTTCATCCCTTCTACCCGTTCATCCCTTCTACCCGTTCAATCCCTTCTACCCGTTCATCCCTTCTACCCCCGTTCATCCCTTCTACCCGTTCATCCCTTCTACCCGTTCATCCCTTCTACCCGTTCATCCCTTCTACCCGTTCATCCCTTCTACCCGTTCATCCCTTCTACCCGTTCATCCCTTCTACCCGTTCATCCCTTCTACCCGTTCATCCCTTCTACCCGTTCATCCCTTCTACGCGTTCATCCCTTCTACCCCGTTCATCCCTTCTACCCGTTCATCCCTTCTACCGTCCCGTTCATCCCTTCTACCCGTTCATCCCTTCTACCCGTTCATCCCTTCTACCCGTTCATCCCTTCTACGCGTTCATCCCTTCTACCCGTTCATCCCTTCTACCCGTTCATCCCTTCTACCCGTTCATCCCTTCTACCCCCGTTCATCCCTTCTACCCGTTCATCCCTTCTACCCGTTCATCCCTTCTACCCGTTCATCCCTTCTACCCGTTCATCCCTTCTCCCCATTCATCCTTTCTACCCGTTCATCCCTTCTACCCGTTCATCCCTTCTACCCGTTCATCCCTTCTACCCGTTCATCCCTTCTACCCGTTCATCCCTTCTACCCGTTCATCCCTTCTACCCGTTCATCCCTTCTACCCCCGTTCATCCCTTCTACCCGTTCATCCCTTCTACCCGTTCATCCCTTCTACCCGTTCATCCCTTCTACCCGTTCATCCCTTCTACCTGTTCATCCTTTCTACCCATTCATCCCTTCTCCCCGTTCATCCCTTCTACCCGTTCATCCCTTCTACCCGTTCATCCCTTCTACCCGTTCATCCCTTCTACCCGTTCATCCCTTCTACCCCCGTTCATCCCTTCTACCCGTTCATCCCTTCTACCCGTTCATCCCTTCTACCCGTTCATCCCTTCTACCCGTTCATCTCTTCTACCCGTTCATCCCTTCTACCCGTTCATCCCTTCTACCCGTTCATCCCTTCTACCCGTTCATCCCTTCTACCCGTTCATCCCTTCTACCCGTTCATCCCTTCTACCCGTTCATCCCTTCTACCCGTTCATCCCTTCTACCCGTTCATCCCTTCTACGCGTTCATCCCTTCTACCCGTTCATCCCTTCTACCCGTTCATCCCTTCTACCCGTTCATCCCTTCTACCCGTTCATCCCTTCTACCCCCGTTCATCCCTTCTACCCGTTCATCCCTTCTACCCGTTCATCCCTTCTACCCGTTCATCCCTTCTACCCGTTCATCCCTTCTACCCCCGCATCCCTTCTACCCGTTCATCCCTTCTACCCGTTCATCCCTTCTACCCGTTCATCCCTTCTACCCGTTCATCCCTTCTACCCGTTCATCCCTTCTACCCGTTCATCCCTTCTACCCGTTCATCCCTTCTACCCGTTCATCCCTTCTACCCGTTCATCCCTTCTACCCGTTCATCCCTTCTACCCGTTCATCCCTTCTACCCGTTCATCCCTTCTACCCGTTCATCCCTTCTACCCGTTCATCCCTTCTACCCGTTCATCCCTTCTACCCGTTCATCCCTTCTACCCGTTCATCCCTTCTACCCGTTCATCCCTTCTACCCGTTCATCCCTTCTACCCGTTCATCCCTTCTACCCGTTCATCCCTTCTACCCGTTCATCCCTTCTACCCGTTCATCCCTTCTCCCCATTCATCCTTTCTACCCATTCATCCCTTCTCCCCATTCATCCCTTCTCCCCCCCTCCCTCCCAACCCCTCCCCCCCCCCCCCCACCATCCCCTGTCGTCTCCCTCGCAGCTGCGGGACAGCAAGCGGGCAAGTGTGCTGGCGGCCAAGCGGGCACTCTCTGCTTCCTCCACGCCGCCCCGCGTCGTGGTGAGTCGCCCCGCGTCGTGGTGAGTCGCCCCGCGTCGTGGTGAGTCGCCTCGCGTCGTGGTGAGTCGCCCTGCTCCGCAGGCGCGAGCTGGGCCTGTTAAAATCTGCAATGGTGAGTCGCTCCCCTGAGGTCAGGTAAGTCGCTCCCTTGAGGTCAGGTAAGTCGCTGCCCTGAGGTCAGGTGAGTTTATATCTGCAACGGGGTGAGTCACGTTGCCCCCCTGAGCCGAGATGAGGGGAGCTTGAAGCGGCCGTGAGGAGTGTATGTGGGGCATATTACTTCGGTGGTGAGTCACCCCTACGGGTCGAGGTGAGGTGAAAGAACGAATGGAACTGTGAGGGCAAGTAACGTGCGTGAACTCTCGAGTGAGTGACATTGGGTCGTTGCGGTAACTGGCCTCTCTCAAGTCAGTCCTTAGCCTCCTCAGGTGCAGCAGTGAGCTCACCTCACCTCCGCTGCAATGGTGAGTCCAGTCCAGTGCACCTTTGCTTTGACAAATCTCCCCCCCCCCCCTCCCCCCCCTAGCTTGCCAGGCTCAATGAAAACCACCCTCAAGTCAAGCGGGCCTTGTGACTCAACGCTGCTGTGGATCGCTAGGCTCATTGAACACACCCTGAGTCCAGTGGGGTTCGAGGTGTGGATGGGTCCTCTCGACGCCCCCACTCCTCCACGTCTCCACTCCACTCTTTCCTCACTTCGCCTTTACTCCCCAACCCAACCCCCTTCTCCTCCCACCACCCCCTTCCCCCCGTCCCCCTTCTCTTCTTGCATCCCCCATCCAATGTTTTCCCGCCCCCCACCCACCCCTATGTGTGGCAGCTGCTGATTGGTTTATCTCGCCAGGTGGACGTGGCTCACCTGGCAGATACGTTCGTTGAGGCATGCGCTGCTTCAGGTGCCACTCAGGTGGGTCTCTGCTGTCTTCAGGTGCCACTCAGGTGGGTCTCTGCTGTCTTCAGGTGCCACTCAGGTGGGTCTCTGCTGTCTTCAGGTGCTGTCGCGTCACTCATGCCCTCGTACCGTGCCTTCCTTGTTGCTTTCTCCTATCGTTTTGTTCATCCTTCAGCCCTCCTATCTCCCATCTCCTGCAGTTCTTCTTTCTCCCCTCTCCTTCACCCCTCCTACCTCCCATTCTCTGCCTCTGCTCCTCATTCTTTGCCACTCCTCTCCTCTCTTTCCCTCCCACTTTCTTCCCATCTCTCACTGTTCCAAACTTGAGTATATCCTGCATCAACCGAAACTCTTATATCCCCCTTTTCCTACCCCCCAACCCCATTCAATTCCAAACCCTCACATCTTCTCTCCCCCTTCGCCCCTTTCACCCAAATCCTGACCCCCCTCACCCCATCCCAACCCCCCTTCTACACCCGCTTCCCCCCTTGCAGTCTGCAGGCGCCCAAGCAGCAGCAGGGCAGGGAATGGAGGTGGAAGGGGGCCATGTGGAGGGCAGTGTGAAGGCTCAGGGAGTGGGGGGGGTGCGCCTGGTGGCTCTGTCCAAGCTCAGGGCGCGCTTTGCTGTGAGTGCTTTGCTGTGGTGTGGTGATTTTGCTTTGTGCGCTTTGCTTTCACTCTCAGCTGTGTCAGCCATAAGGGGAGTGGGTGGTTGAGGGGAGGAGGAATGGGGAAGTGGGGAGTGTGGGTGTCATGACATGACATGACCGTTCACACTTGCGACACTTCGCTTTCCTGTAAGCTGTCACTTCTTCTCTTTCCTGTAAGGCTGTGAGTTCGTTTCCTTCCCGCCTGCTGGCACAATGAAGTTCGTCTTCCTTTGAGGCGCCTCCTAAAATCTGCTGGCTGGCTCCATTCAGATTAGTATAGAGAAGATTCTCTTGTTTTCTTTCTGTCAGTTTGAGTTGTTTTCTGCTTCTCGCCTTACTGAGCCTTACTTGAAAACAGCTCCATATTCTCTTTGGCCTTGCCCAGTCTTGTTTGCTTGCTGCTGGTGTGTCTGCTGTGTCTGTTTAACAGCACTCGTTGTTTGTCAGGTGTAGTGACGTGGTTTGTTTGTTGCGGGTGTGTGCCGCATGCTTTTTCTCTCAATCATGCCTTATTGTACCCCCTTTCTCTCCATCTCGTTCCCCTTTCCGCCCTTCCTTCTCCCGTTTCTCTCCTATTCTCCTCATTGTCTCCTCTGCTCATCTCATCCTCATCTTCATCTGCATCCCTCTTCCGCCAATTGCCCAGGTCGTGCCGTGTCCTCCAGGGGATCTTCTGCGATGCCTCGAGCTCATCAAGGTGATTATCTTCTCGCCTTGATTTTCTCCATGAAATTATGCTAGTTGTATTTACGAGCCTCGAAAGTGGGCAAACAGGGTACCAGAAGGTGAAGCATAGGCTAGAACAATGGGGACTTCAAAGGAAGACAGCTTGAGGGGTAAAAGATGAGAACTTTTAAACTTTCGATGCTCAATTCCTCTTCCTCCCCTCCAGTTCTCCTCCATCTCCATTATCCTTATCATATTTCTTTTCAACGAGATCCCATTCCTTCCTTTGATTGAACTTCCTATACCTCCCTTTCTCCTCTCCTCTCTCCCTCTCGGCTTATCCACTGCTTCCTTGTCCCTCGTTTTCCCAACAAATTTCTACGCCTCCCACTGAGCCCTCGCCGCTTTCACTGACCTTCCCACCCCCTTTACGGAGGCTCCCACCCTCTTTACCGAGCCTCCCGCCCCTTCTACCGAGCCCCCGAAGGGGCGGGGGGCTACGTAAAGGGGGTGGGAGCCTCCGTAAAGGGGGTGAGAAGGTCAGTGGAAGGGGCGAGAGGCTCAGTGGGAGGTGTAGAAACCTGTTGGGAAAACGAGGGACGAAGAAGCGGTGAATAAGCCGGGGGGGAAGGAGGAGAGGAGAAAGAAAGCTAGAGGAAGTTCAATCAAAAAAAGAGGCGGGACCTTGTTGAGAAGAAATAGGATAAGGATAACGAAGATGGAGGAGAACTGGAGGGGAGGAAGAGGAGTTGAACGTTGAAAATTCAAAAGTTCCATCTTTTTCCCCTCAAGCTGTCTGTCCCAACGATTATAGCTTGCCGAAAGGTCTCATCACTAAAAGCTCACCCCATTAGATTCATCTCGTTGACGTGGAAATCTTCAATTTCATCATCTTGTGGCAAGCGTCTTATTTAGGAATTCTCACAAAAATCCATCCAACATCACCCCTCTCGACCCACCCCCTTCCCTGCTTGCCTTCACACTAGTCTCCTACCAACCCCTCTCACTCAAACGCTCTCATCTTTCTTCCCTACCTCCAGTTCACCAATGCAATCATCTCCCCATCTCCCTCTCATCACGCATTTTGTCCCCCTCCTGCCAAAGAGTTGACTTTTGAGTCAACTCAAAAGTCACCTCATCTCCCTCCTATCGCCCATTTGACCCTTCCCCCCTGCCAAAGTCATCATCATTATTTCCACAAGAACCCGGTCCCATTATAAGTAATAGCCCTCTATTCCTTCATTAATAACCCTCCCCCCCCCCCCCCACTCCCATATTGCAGACGCGGTAATTTTTGCATCTACAATTTGGTTGACTAAAAAATCACCTCCTAAACCTCTCTACCCCTCCTTCACCCCCTTTCCCCACCCCCTCCTCCTCCGCACTCCCAGATCGCAGACGTGGTAATCTTCGCATCTACAATCGCCCCCATCGACCCCCTCCCTCCCACCACTCCGTCAGCCCTCTCCACCTCCTCGCTCCACACCCATGCCACCTCACACTCCCACACTCACTCCCTGCGCACCACTACCACCAACAAATCCTCTGCCTCCGCCTCCTCCCCTTCGTCTGCGGCCTACATTGACGACTGGGGCCGCTCAGCCCTCTCTGTGGCCCGGGCGCAGGGCCTGCCACTCCAGGTCGCCCTCGCTTCCAGCCTCTCCTCTCCGGCTTTTGCTGCCTCCTCCTCTTCCCTCGCCGCCTCCTCGCTTGCTCCATCCTCCTCTGCATCTGCTCTTTTTAGAGATTCGATGCTCCCGTTGAGTCAGCAGCAGCAGCAGGGCCAGCAGAAGGCAGGGGGTGGGGAGGGGAAGAGGCACGGGGAGCAGAGGAAGGGCGCTCTGGCGGTGCTGGGAGGGGAGTTTCCTAAAGGCACTTGCCATGTGTTTGGAGTCGACTCTCTTACTGAGATGGCACCGGTGAGTCAATGAAAGGGAGGGAATGCTACGAGGCGGCAAGATCCTATTTCCGTTTCATTTTTTGTGGGGGGAGGGGGAAACAGTCCGTTATGAGCCTTCTCCTTGATCAGTCCAAACTCACCCTGCCCTGATGCAATTCTCTCCCATCCTGTTTCTGGCCGTCTGAAATCTTTCCCTTCTTCGCCTATCCACCTCCCATCAACCCTTCTTCGCCTATCCACCTCCCCTCAACCCTTCTTCGCCTATCCACCTCCCCTCAACCCTTCTTCGCCTATCCACCTCCCCTCAACCCTTCTTCGCCTATCCACCTCCCCTCAACCCTTCTTCGCCTATCCACCTCCCCTCAACCCTTCTTCGCCTATCCACCTCCCCTCAACCCTTCTTCGCCTATCCACCTCCCCTCAACCCTTCTTCGCCTATCCACCTCCCCTCAACCCTTCTTCGCCTATCCACCTCCCCTCAACCCTTCTTCGCCTATCCACCTCCCCTCAACCCTTCTTCGCCTATCCACCTCCCCTCAACCCTGCTGCAGGTGGTGCGGCACATAGCGGAGCATCGTCCCGTCACTCCTGGCTGGCGCACTCACCGCCCGTACCTCGTGGCACACAATGTGAGTGAGCCTTTGCCATGTGGCCACCACTGCGCACACACAAGCACACATGCGCACACACGCTCCTGGTTGGCGCACACACGCTCCTGGCTGGCGCACACACCGCCCGTTGCTTGTGGCAAACAATGTGAGCCTCTAATCTCTGCACCAGTGCGCACACACACAAGCATGCAGCCACCCTCACACACAAGCATGCAGCCACCCTCACACACAAGCATGCAGCCACCCTCACACACAAGCATGCAGCCACCCTCACACACAAGCATGCAGCCACCCTCTCACACTCCTGGCTGGGGCACGCACTGCCTGTACCTCGTAGCACACGATGTAGGATTTTGTGTGCTTGCCATCACACACGCGTGCGCACACTCACCCACACTCACACACACACATATGCACGCATACACGCACACACATACACACACACACACATACGCACACACACACGCACACACATACACACACATATACCACGCACTCTCTCTCTCACTCACACGCACGCACGCACACGGGACATAAAATTCCTTGCCTCCTTTCATCTCGCTAGCCCATGGCCTCGCTCGCTCCCTCTCCCTCTTTCATCCCCTCTCCCTCTTTCATCCCGTCTCCTCTCCCTCTTTCATCCCCTCTCCCTCTCTCTCCGCCAGTTTGACTTTATCCCCGGCGCAGCCGACACAGGCGCTGCAGCAGCCACTGGCACGTTGCGAGTGGTGGGCTACGTGCGTGGCCACGGGATCAACGTGAACCAGCTGGTGAGGAGAGTCAGTGCTTGCCATGTAGAAGAGCAGCAGCAGGAGGGGATGTCTTAGCAAAAGACAAAAGTCTCTCCAGAAAAAATCGTAACCCTTTAAAGTTTGAGTAAAACGCGAAAGTACAAGCTCAGAACAGCTCTATTGACTAGGCAACATGTTCCGGTCCGTACGGGGATCATTTTCGTCACGTCAGGCCTTCATCAGTGCAAGAGAGCCGTTCAGCATCCACTGGCACGTTGCGGGTGGTGGGCTACGTGCGTGGCCACGGGATCAACGTGAACCAGCTGGTGAGGAGGATGAGGCGGTGAGGTCGATTGACCAGGTGCTGGGTCCCAGTGCTGCTGGGGGAGCACTCACGTTTTTCTTTCTCCCACTCCCCCCCTTTCCTTTCCCTGTGCAGGTGCACATTACAGGCGTGGGCGACTTTCAGCTGGCTCAGATTGACCAAGTGCCCGACCCCTGTGCTGCTGGCGAGCATGGGAGGCCGGGGGGGAGGGGCGGTGGGAGCAAGGGGAAGGAGAAGAAGAAAGGGGGGACGGCGAAAGAGGGAATGGAGGAAGAGGAGGGAGAGGAGGGGGAGGAGGGGGAAGTGGAGGAAGAGGGGGAGGAGGAGGAGGAGGGGGGAGTGAGGGTGTTGGCTCGGTCGAGTGCAGAGCTGAGGGATCCCCTTGTGGTTCTCAACACACTCGATCCGCTGGCAGGCGAACAGGTGCGGTAGTGAGGGAGCGGGCGGGTGAAGAGGTGAGAGCACGTGGGTGGGTGGGTAGGTGGGTGGTGACACACGACACATTGTGGGGAGCTGAGGGATCCCCTTATGGTGCTCAACACACCTGATCCACTGGCCGGCGAACAGGTGCGGCTGAAGAGGTGAGAGCAGAGGGACGAGAGCATGTGAGGTGACACGGCACGTTGAGTTGAGTTGAGTTGAGGGACCAAAGATCCGCTTCCCATACCGTTGGTGGGGTAGGGCGCCACATCACACGGGGGCCCCCCCACACCAGACAAGGTGGCACAGCAGACTAGGTGTAAACTTTTGCACGCCGAGCCAACCTTCCTCACCTTACCGCACACAACCCCATCCCCGTCTTCCTGCACCCCGCCCTCCTTCCTTCCCGTTCTCCCTCTACCCCTCCCCCCCCCTCTCACCCAGACGTGGCCGACGGAGGAGGAAATGGCAGCAGCAGAGGCGGAGGAGGAGGGAGAGTTGTAAGCAGCGCAGATTGCATGTGATTCTCACAGCGGACATGCCTTCCCTCCTCCCCTTCACCCCCCCTACCAGACGTGGCCGACAGAGGAGGAAATGGCAGCAGCAGAGGCGGAGGAGAGGAAGAGAGCAGAGAGCAAGGCCCTGGGCGGGGGAGGAGGGAAGGAGGGGAAGGGTGGCGCCAGGCGCATTCGGGTGCCCAAAGGAACCTCCAGTTACCAGGTGTGCTCTGATACCTTTGTGATGCTCTGATACCGTTGTAAAGGGTATTTGTCTTCTGAGGCGTCAGGGAGTGACACCTACGCTGCATTGATAATCAATCGTCTTCCGTTTGTTATGCACTGCTGCCTAATCCATGTTCCCCTCCTCCGACACCCCCCTCCCCCTTTTTTCTTGTTGCGTGGCTGTTTGGTGTCGACATTCGTCGCTGCAAGCTTGTCAAGAGGGTTTTATGAAGCTCCTCAAGGTTTGCATGAGGCTAAGTAATCTTAACATACGGTGTTGCTTGTTGAACTGCAGGCGGCATGGATGCAAGGTGGTGACGAGGAGGAGAGCGAGGGGGAAGAGGAGGACGGGGAGGAGGGACAGGATGGAGAGGAGGGAGAGGAGGCGATGGAGGAGGGAGAGGAGAGGGATGGGGGTGAGCAGGGAGGAGCAGAGGAGGAGGAGGAGGGGTCGGGGAGTGATTGGGAGGAGGTGGATGAGGATGATGGTGTGGGAGGGGAGAGGCTGGAAGGAGGCAGCACCCACGATGGGCTCATGGTGCGTGCTGCTCTCATTCCATGCCCAGTAGTGTTGAGCTTCCCTTTAAGTTACAACTCCCTGCATTCATGGTGTCTCCATCCCTTCTCTCCCACCTCTCATCCACCGTCCGTCGCTCATACACCTTCTCCTGTGTTCGTGGTACATTAAGGGCGATGCAGGATGACAACAACCCCTCTCCGTTCCCCTCTCATCCCCCCCCTTGGATGAAAAGGAGCAGAGGCAGAGAGGCCGCCTTAGAAACACACCCATCAAAACCCCTCACAGAGATTCATGAGGACATTGCCTCCACCATCGTCACTCACCCCTCCCCCCGTGTGTGTGTGTGGCAGGAGGAGGATGATGCAGAGGGGGAGGCGGAGAAGAGGGCGCGGGCACAGTGGGAAGAGATGAAGCGACTGAGGACACAGCAGCAGGAGGACCAGGGTGGGTGTGGTGTGGGGCATGGGAATGCTGAGGTTCAGGGTGTGTGGTGTAGGGCATGGGAATGCTGAGGTTCAGGGTGTGTGGTGTAGGGCATGGGAATGCTGAGGTTCAGGGTGTGTGGTGTAGGGCATGGGAATGCTGAGGTTCAGGGTGTGTGGTGTAGGGCATGGGAATGCTGAGGTTCAGGGTGTGTGGTGTAGGGCATGGGAATGCTGAGGTTCAGGGTGTGTGGTGTAGGGCATGGGAATGCTGAGGTTCAGGGTGTGTGGTGTAGGGCATGGGAATGCTGAGGTTCAGGGTGTGTGGTGTAGGGCATGGGAATGCTGAGGTTCAGGGTGTGTGGTGTAGGGCATGGGAATGCTGAGGTTCAGGGTGTGTGGTGTAGGGCATGGGAATGCTGAGGTTCAGGGTGTGTGGTGTAGGGCATGGGAATGCTGAGGTTCAGGGTGTGTGGTGTAGGGCATGGGAATGCTGAGGTTCAGGGTGTGTGGTGTAGGGCATGGGAATGCTGAGGTTCAGGGTGTGTGGTGTAGGGCATGGGAATGCTGAGGTTCAGGGTGTGTGGTGTAGGGCATGGGAATGCTGAGGTTCAGGGTGTGTGGTGTAGGCCATGGGAATGCTGAGGTTCAGGGTGTGTGGTGTAGGGCATGGGAATGCTGAGGTTCAGGGTGTGTGGTGTAGGGCATGGGAATGCTGAGGTTTAGGGTAGGTAGGCATAGCCGCATAGGTAGGCTGTCTCAGTTTGAGCACATTGGGAGGAGTTGAATGGAGCGGCTGAAGGTGCGTCAACATCAGCAGGAGGACCATTTAGGTCACTGGGAAGGGGACAGTCATTGTGGTCTTAGTGAGCTGATACTATAGAGGGGGAAGCATGTCCAAACCCAAGCTTGAAACCCAAGCTTGAAACCCAAGCTTGAAACCCAAGCTTGAAACCCAACCTCAAACCAGGGTAAACCCTAGTTTTCGACCCAAACTAAGTTTGGGTGCCTATCTATCTTCGCCCAGGAATGCCAGTCTGTGCTACAGGAAACAAGTGAAGCCATATTTTGACAGGAGTGTCCCCCGAGGGAGGCATCGATCCAGACAATTCCAGGCAGAACCTGGTACCATCACAGAGACTTCCTCTCCATTCCTCTCCATTCCTATCCATTTCTCTCCATTCCTCTCCATTCCTCTCCATTCCTCTCCATTCTTATCTCCCTTGTTATCGCCACACACCCCAGAGTTCCCTTACAAGGTCTACACGCCCGACGACATGCCAGCCCGCCTGCGCTTTGCCAACCTCACCTCCTGCATTCGCTCTCGCCCATTCCCGCTCCCCCATTCCCATCCGACATCCCATCTATTTCCTTGCACGTCTGCTCCAGAGTTCCCTGACTAGGTCGACATGCCTGACGACATCTCAGCACGGCAGCGCATTGCCAAACTTTGCTACCTCATTCATTCCCCCATCCTTCATTCCCTCCATTCTCTGTGTCCCCAACCCCCCATTCCACGCCAATCAGAGTTTCCGGACGAGGTGGACACACCTGACGACATCTCGGCCCACCAGCACTTTGCCAACCTCACCTTCCCCGTCCGCTCTCCCCCATTCCCACTCCCCCATCCATTTCCTTGCTCCTTCTGCTCCGTCTGCTCCAGAATTCCCCGACGAGGTGGACACACCTGACGACATCCCGGCCCGCCAGCGCTTTGCCAAGTACCGCGGACTCAAGTCCTTCCGCTCCTCGCCGTGGGACCCCAAGGTGCTGTGCGGTGATGTGCTGTGCGGTGTGATGTTTGGTGTATGTACTGTGCAATATGCTGCCCAAGGTGGGTTACTTGCTGCTATTGTAGCCGTGTCAAGGTGTTGTGTGCGGTGCTGTCTGGTGCAGTGTGCTTTCCACTTCTCTGCCACTCACAGGAGTCCCTCCCCCCTGAGTACGCATGCATATTCTCCTTGGGCAACTGGAATAGGACGCACAAGGAAATAAGGGGAGAGGACACCAGTGCAGCATGTCACACATTCCCTTAACTAAGACTTCCTTCCCCTCCCCCTCCCCCCAACCCAACCTCCCCTCTGCCGCCCACAGGAGTCCCTCCCCCCCGAATACGCGCGCATCTTCTCCTTTGACAACTGGAAAAGGACGCAGAAGGCCGCGGAGGAGCGGGCGGCAGCAGTGGATCGGGGCGAGGTGCCCGGGTCGGTTGGGGCGGGGACGTTTGTCAGGTTGCACATTATGAACGTGCCATGCTTCGAAGCAGGTACTCTATGAACCTTTCTATCGATGATGATGATGTCCCGTTCGATATGTGCATGTGTTTGGCAGTGTGCATTGCACTGTTTAAACCGCAATGTGTGCATTTGTGTGTGAGTGAGCAATCATGCGTGCATCTTGCAGGGCCGTGGAGGTGGGGATGCAGGCGGTCAGTATTATAATCTATTCAATAACCCTATTCCTTGTTGTACACCTCGCTTCCATTATCCTGGCTACGTGGTCTTCTCTTCATTTACTAACACCAAGTTAATCCCCAAGAGCCTTGCTTTCTCTTCCTGGGCTCTTTCAGTTCCTTCCGCCGGCCCTCTTTTCCCTGATCCCCTCCCTTTCCCCCACCCTCCCTTTCCTCAGAGCGTCTGCAGCACGAGGTGACCAAACGTGGGCTGCCACTTGTCGTGACGGGGCTGCTGCAGCACGAGACGCGCATGACAGTGCTGCACTTCTCAGTCAAGAAGTCCGACTCCTTCGCCCCCCCCATCAAGTCCAAGCAGCGCCTCCTCTTCCACTGCGGCTTCCGAAGGTTCTACTCTCGGTGAGCGCTGGTTGCTGGTGGTGGTGGTGCTTGCGATGAGTGTTGGTTGCAGCTGGTGGTGAGTGTCGGTGGTGGTGGTGGCTCTGCCCCCATCAAGTCCAAGCAGCGCCTCCTCTTCCACTGCGGCTTCCGCCGCTTCTACACTCGGTGGGTGCAGTGCAGTGCGGTCCTGTTGATTACCCTGGTCCACACACGATCAGTGCGCCCACTGCTGCTGGTGCAGGTGCTGGTGAGGGGGAGTGCAGCACGAGAGATTTCAGGGACGGCAATAACCACAAACAACCCTTTCACCCCCTCCCACCCAACCTCTTCATCCCCACCTTTTCCCCTCCCACCCTTTTCCCCTCCCACTCTTTTCCCCTCCCACCCTTTTCCCCTCCCACTCTTTTCCCCTCCCATCCTTTTCCCCTCCCACTCTTTTCCCCTCCCACCCATTTCCCCCCCCCCCCTTTTCCCCGCCCACCCATTTCCCCTCCCACCCTTTTCCCCTCCCACCTCTTCCCCTCCCACCCTCTTCCCCTCCCACCCTCTTCCCTTCCCACCCTCTTCCCCTCCCACCCTCTTCAGCCCCACCTTTTCCACAGACAACATCAGACTTCGACAAGCTGTGGACTTGATACACGAGTTGAGTTGAAGCTGTGATTTGCATTCACCCACTGCACTTCCATCCCCCTTCTTCCCCCCCCACCCTCCCCCCTCTCCCCCCTTCCCCACCCTCCATATTCTTACCATCTTCCTCTCCCCCCTCCAGCCCAACCGTCTCAACGGACGACGCCATCCTCGATAAGCACAAGTTGAAGCTGTGACTCGCTTTCAGCCACTGCTGCCTTAACCAAACCCCCCCGCCCCCCCCCCATCCCCCCACCCTCGCTCCCTCCCTCCCCTCCCCCGCAGCCCAGCCCCACCTTCTCCACGGACGACATCAACCAGGGCAAGCACGAGTTCGAGAAACAAGCTGAAGCTGTGACTTGGCGTTGTGCTGTGCTCAACTCTCAACCATTGTACTGTGCTCCCCCTCTCCCCCCACCTCCCCACCTCCAACCCCCCTCCCTCCCCCCCCCCCCCCCCCCCGCCCCGCCTTCTCAACGGACAATGTCAACCCCGATAAGCACAAGTTGAAGCTGTGACTCGCATTCAGTGCTTTGACCAACACGACCCCCCCCCCCGCTCCCCCTCCCCCTCCTCTTCCTAAACCCCCCCTTCCCCCCCCCTCCCCACCCCCCCAGCCCCACCTTCTCAACGGATGACATCAATCTCGATAAGCACAAGTTCGAGCGCTTCCTGCACCCCGGAAGGTTCGCGGTAGCTTCCATCTTCGCACCCACGCTCTTCCCGCCGCTCCCCCTCCTCGTCTTCGCCGACCCGTCTGCGGCCAATCAGCACACAGGAGAGGGTGTGGGGGGAGGGAGTGTAGGAGGGAGTGTGGTGGGGGGAAGTGTGGTGGGCGAGGGCGAGGAGCTGCAGCTGGCGGCAACAGGGGCTTTAAGAGGGCCGGACCCCGATCGGATCATCCTCAAGAAGATTGTGCTGTCGGGGTGAGTTGAATTGCGAGCAAGGCACGCGCTGCAGGGTGCTATGAAGCATTGGGGTGTTGGGCACTTATATGGAGGACAGGTTGTTCTTGGCTTGATTGATAGGTGCTTTCTCCTGGAGTGCAGTGCAGCAGGGTGGCGCGAATCAGTGATGCAGTGGAAGTCAGTGATGCAGTGGAAGTCAGTGATGCAGTGGAAGTCAGTGATGCAGTGGAAGTCAGTGGCATACTCACATATTGATGTGCACTCATGCTTTCACTCCCTTCCTCCTCCCCTTCCCCCTACTCCCCGTGTCAGTGATGAAGAGCAAGGCAGCGGTGCGATACATGTTCCACCAGCCACCCGAAAATACTCACATATAGATGTGCACTCATCCTTTCACTCCCGTCCTCCTCCCCGTCCCCCTCTTCCCTCCAGCTACCCCGTGTCAGTGATGAAGCGCAAGGCAGTGGTGCGATACATGTTCCACCAGCCAGAGGATGGCAGGTGGTTCCAGGTCAGTGCCACGTCAGATGGTTCCATGTCAGTGCCACGTCAGATGGTTCCAGCAGGTCAGTGCCACGTCAGATGGTTCCAGGTCAGTGCCGCGTCGGATGGTCCAGGTCAGTGCCACGTCAGATGGTCCAGATCAGCACACTTCCATTCATCTCCCTCTTTTATTCCCTCCCACCAGCTTAATGATGACCATGCATGCACCATGCATGCCCATCCCCATTTTCCTTCTCGTCCGTCCCTTTCCCTTTCCCTGCACTCCGCTCCCATCCCTCTCACCCCACCCACTCTCTTTCCCGTCTCCCCCATCCCTCTCTCTCTCCCCCTTTCCCCCATTCTTCTTATCAGCAAACCTTCTATCATCCCCTTGCCTCCCTCCCCAATCTGACCCTCTCTTCTGCGGAATCATTTCACCAAGTACGGCGGGGTGGCTGCGTTTGCACTATGCACTGCCCAGCCCCCTTCCCTCTTCCCCACATTCCAGCGCCCCCTCCCTTGTCCCCCTGGCCAGCTGATGGGGCTCTTTACCAGGTGGCAGGAGGGACCGCATTCACTCTAACCGATACACAGCACTTCCCTCTCCCCACTTCCCTCTCCCCACTTCCCTCTCCCCACTTCCCTCTCCCCACTTCCCTCTCCCCACTCCCCACTCCCCTCTCCCCACTCCCTTCTCCCCACTCCCCACTCCCCACTCCCCTCTCCCCGCTCCCCTCTCCCCACTCCCCACTCCTCTCTCCCCACTCCCCACTCCCCACTCCCCTCTCTCCTCTCTTTGCTTACCCCACCTTCCACGTGCCAGCCAGTGGAGCTCTTCACCAAGTACGGCCGGGCGGGCTGCATTCACTCTGAATGTACGATGCACAACAACCAACCATCCTCCCACTTCCCACTCCCCACTCCCCGCTCTCGCTTCCCTCTCCCTCTTCCCCCACGCCAGCCGGTGGAGCTCGTTACCAAGTACGGCCGGAGGGGCCGCATGCACTATGAACGCACTATGCACAGCACCCAACCCTCTTTCCGCTCCCCACTCCCCCTCTCTCCTCTCTCTTCCCTCTTCACCAAGTACGGCTGGACGGCCGCATTCACTCTGAACGCACTGTGCGCAGCAACCAACCATCCTCCCACTCCCCACTCCGCACTCCCCACTCCCCACTCTCACTTCTCCCCTCCCTCGTCCTCCTCACCAGCCAGTGGAGCTCTTCACCAAGTACGGCCGGAGGGGGCGCATTCGCGAGCCTGTGGGCACCAAAGGTGGGTGGGTGTGTGGGTGCTGTGCTGTGCTGTGTTGCACGCAGAAGTTCCACATAGTGTCTGTATGTGGTGGTGGGCATGGACCATGGTGTGTGTGGTGGTGGGCATGGACCATGATGTGTGTGGTGGTGGGCATGGACCATGGTGTGTGTGGTGGTGGGCATGGACCATGGTGTGTGTGGTGGTGGGCATGGACCATGGTGTGTGTGGTGGTGGGCATGGACCATGGTGTGTGTGGTGGTGGGCATGGACCATGGTGTGTGTGGTGGTGGGCATGGACCGTGGTGTGTGGTGGTGGGCATGGACCATGGTGTGTGTGGTGGTGGGCATGGACCATGGTGTGTGTGGTGGTGGGCATGGACCATGGTGTGTGTGGTGGTGGGCATGGACCGTGGTGTGTGGTGGTGGGCATGGACCATGGTGACTTCTGAGGCGCCTCAAAAGGGTGTGTGGGTGCAATGTGATGCAATCGTGTGTGTGGCAGTGTGATGCAATCGTGTGTGTGGCACTGTGATGCAATCGTGTGTGTGGCACTGTGATGCTATCATGTGTGTGGCAGTGTGATGCTATCGTGTGTCTACTGGTGCTCACTCCTTATCCATCTCCCCCACTTGCTTCTATTCTTACTTGTATCCCTCTTGCGAGCATCCCAATACCTGTCATCACCGCCCTCCAGGAGCAATCAAGTGTGTGTTTGACGGGGTGGTGCTATCATGTGCTCACCCGTGCTCACTCCTTCCCCGTATCCCCCCCTTGCCTCCACCCCTCTTGCTTCCACCCCTCTTGCTTCCACCCCTCTTGCTTCCACCCCTCTTGCTTCCACCCCTCTTGCTTCCACCCCTCTTGCTTCCACCCCTCTTGCTTCCACCCCTCTTGCTTCCACCACTCTTGCTTCCACCCCTCTTGCTTCCACCCCTCTTGCTTCACCCCTCTTGCTTCCACCCCTCTTGCTTCCACCACTCTTGCTTCCACCCCTCTTGCTTCCACCCCTCTTGCTTCCACCCCTCTTGCTTCCACCCCTCTTGCTTCCACCACTCTTGCTTCCACCCCTCTTGCTTCCACCCCTCTTGCTTCCATCCCAATGCCGCTCTTGCTGCCATCACCACCCTCCAGGAGCAATCAAGTGTGTGTTCGACAGGGTGGTGTTATTGTGTGCTCACCCGTGCTCACTCCTCCCGAATCCCCCCCTTGCCTCCACCCCTCTTGCGTTCACTCCAATGCCCCTCATCAATACCTCTCATCACCGCCTGCCAGGAGCAATCAAGTGTGTGTTCGATGGGGTGGTGCAGCAGCGCGATGCCGTCTGCATGGCTCTCTACAAGCGAGTCTACCCCAAGTTCCCCGTCCTGCCAGCCTCTCTTTGAGCAACCACAAGACTACCCCCAAGTTCCCATCGCTGCTGACTGCATACATATTCCACGATACATGCACAATCTTAAAAAAAAATACATTATATTGTCAAGGTTCAATCAAATACAAACCTATGGCAAAAAGCAAAACCCACACACTCACACCCACATACATGTGCCAAATATACACAATCACTCAGCCAACCATCAGCACACTTGACTCCTGGCCTCCAAGCAACCGCATGCAGTTGCTCACACCTCTGCTCCATCAGACCCTGCTGATCGGACTGATCTCGCAGCTAATTGATAGCGGCATGTTTCCGTTCTTGATAATCCTGACAGCAAAAAACGGTATGGTAGGGAATGATAGTGAAAGGTATGGCAGTGACGAGGACAAACACACAGCATAAGCAAATCGAGAAGAGAATCTTAAATGGTTGTGTATGCTCGGAATAGACCGCAAGAACTGTTGGGCTGATATGCCCTAGGATCTTTGTAGAGTTAAAGTCTGAGTAGGATTGTAATAGCGGAAGCGTTTGAATGAAAAGTCCTTGAACCACCTTGCGCTAGTATGTGAGGGCAAAGTAAGTTGATTAAAACAAGCAAATACAAGGCTTTATATAAGAGTACAAGGAATACGAATAGATATAATTAAACTGTTTTGCTGTTGCGATTCGATACAGTGCGACTCGGGCAACTGCTCAATGTCGAGTCAGTTGTGTGTCCTTGCTGTCGCGCTGTATTTGTCAAGTCAAAGGTCGCTGACTTTTGACCTTCGCGTAACCTCCAGGCGGTTACCCTAACCTCGGAGGGTTGACTCGCGATGCTTCGATTTGGACTGCTTTGCTTGTGTCCTGAGTTTCGACACGACAGAGGCGCTTTAAGACTTATTGTTCCCAACAAGAACTGTGATAACTTGAGCTAGGCTAAGGAGCCATAGCTAGTTGAGTTCGAGTGAGTTAAGTTAGAGTCGAGAAAGTTGAAAAGAGAAGAAGAGTTTTCACTATAGAGCGAGCAGTACATATAGGCAAAATGAAAGGTGCACCACCAAAACAGAACATTATATAACTACACTAGTCTACACTACAGGCAGTTACAAAAACAATATATAGAAATATATATTATTCTTGACACGCCCCCATAAGTGCCTGTAGGGAAGAATATGCAGTCAACGCCCCCATAATGGGGTACACCAAGCAGGAGCAGTGACAACCAATGCAGAAAACAGAGAACAGGAGGTGATAGGCTCTGGTTGGTCACCCCCTACATCCCCTCAACCTCCCCCTCCCCCTCCCCATCCCCCTCACACTGCTGCAGGAGCAGCAGAGGGGGGGGGAGGGGGGGGGCAAACGGAGGAGAATGGGGCCGTAGGGCTAGGGGAACAGACATCACCCATCACCCCCACACCCGCCACCCCCAGTCCCTCCCCGGGCTCCCCCACACTCTCACACCCCCCCCCCCAGCGGCAGCTGCAGCAGAGGGAACAAAAGGAGGAGGAGAAGAGGGGGGGGAGGGAGGGGGGGGGCCGACGCACGGCCTCCCCGGGCGCCAAAGCAGGCGGCAGAGGGGGCGACGCCTGCCCCCCCCTTCCAGGTCGCCACGCGGCCCCCTCAGGTCGCCTCGACAGGTGACGGGAAAAGGGGGGGGGGCGGTGCACGTGCCCCCGGTGTGCCGCGGCTGGCGACAGGGCATGGCCGGGGCGGGGTCGGGGCCGCAAGAGGGCGGGGCCGCAGGTGGCATCGGTGCCTAGGGTGGGTACCGCACGGGCGGCGACGGGCCGGGACGGGTGGCACGTGACGCCGCGAAGGGCGGCGACGGGCTGGTACGGGCGGCGACGGGCCGGGACAGGCGGCGACGGGGCCGCAGGAGTAGAGCGGCGAGGCCGCAGTGTAGGGCGGCGGGGCCGCGACAGCAGAGAGGCGGCGAGGCCGCGACAGTAGGGCGGCGGGGCCGCTTAAGAAGGTGCGGGGCCGCGAGCGGGTGGCGGGGCCGCGAATGAAAGGGCACACCACGGGGCGTGCAGTACACTCAGTAGCAGCGGAAGCAAAAGGCCAGGATCGTAACTCTCTCTGATAGCATGTGATAACTTGAGCTAGGCTAAGGAGCCATAGCTAGTTGAGTTCGAGTGAGTTAAGTTAGAGTCGAGAAAGTTGAAAAGAGAAGAAGAGTTTTCACGATAGAGCGAGCAGTACATATAGGCAAAATGAAAGGTGCACCACCAAAACAGAACATTATATAACTACACTAGTCTACACTACAGGCAGTTACAAAAACAATATATAGAAATATATATTATTCTTGACAAGAACCACATGGCTAGTGCTGGAAACAATTGATTTAGCGCCTCTGTCATGTCGAAACACCAAGTCACAAGCGAAGCGAAACATATCGAAGCATTAGCGAGTCAACCCCCGGAGGTTGAATAACTGCTGGAGGTTACGCAAAGTTAAAGGTCAGTGACCTTTGACCTGACAAGTACAGCACGACAGCAAGGACAAACAACTGACTCGCTATTGAGTAGTTGCCCGAGTCGTCACTGTATCGAACCGCAACACCAACAGTAAAACGGTTATTAACTATATCTCTTCGTATTCCTTCTACTATTATAAAAGCCTGTATCTCTTTGTTTTAATCAATCTACGTTGCCCTCACATACCAGCGCAAGGTGGTTCACAAACTTCTCATTAAACGCTTCCGCTATTACATTGTCCTACTCAGAATTTAGTCCTGCAAAGATCCTAAGGGCTTTTCTCAGCCCAACATGGTATGAGAGCTATCTGGACAAATTCAACTACAATCAAGACACCTACAACATCACAAGGCATGGCAACGCAGAAGGAGAGAAGCAAGCCCTCATATTCGTTTTTGGCCTGTCTGATTCGTCAGACTAGTACACAATTTTAGCCTGAAAATCTCAGAGTTGGTATAAAAAAAAGGCTGAAATTTCAGATTGTCCTAAAAAAAAAAAGTCTGATCATTCAAAAACAATGTATTCAATGTTTCATCAGAATGTAATCAATGTTTCATTCATCTGCTACCGAAACACACAACACTAAGGGGATTTCCGATAAAACATGCTCTGACAAGGCGAATATATGTGTCAGGGCGAATCTTGTGGTGCGAAAGAGCGAATCTGCAATGTCAGGGCGAGTTTTCTGTGATTGGTCGAAAATTGTTGTGCTCTGACAGCGCAAATCTGTTGTGTCAGGGCGATTTTGCTATGATTGGGCGAAAATCTTGTGCTGTAAGGCTCGGATTTGCTGTGTCAAGGCGATTCTGCGTTAACATTGCGAATCTATTGTGACCCGTAAGTCCGAATCACCAGTCAAGGACGCGTTTGTAGTCTGAATGATCAAAGTACACTCTCAGAAAACTCTGAACTCTCAGAGTTAGCCTTAAAAAAAGTCTGAAAATTACAGAGTTTGGGCCCAAAAAAGTCTGATTTTAACAGAGTACACTGAAAAAAAAAATCTGAAATATAAGAGTTTTTTCTGCAAATCAGAGAAAAAAGTCTGACTTCGTAGGGCCTGGAGAGAAGCTCCTCTAACGGCTCTCCCGGTACTACTCCTACTCCACCTCATGCCTCCGGCCTACAGACAGAGGAGGGTATGGCAACAAGACCAAGGGCAACGTCCACCGAAACTCCTGCAAATCAACCTGCAGGTGTCGACCAGAGCATGATGGAGAAGTTCTTGTCCTTCATGTCCTTCTACGGACAACACCAACAATCGGCACCTGAGCAGTCAAACAACAGCAACAACAACAACGACGTGACACCCATGAGTCTCGATGGCTCATCTTACGCGCGCGGAAATCAACAGCAGCAGCCTACCTTCGCTCCGTACGAGCCCCAGCGAGGTTCCATCAACTTCATGCCGCACCAGCAACCTTCACCTGGACAAGAGAAGACGTTGGACGCACTCCAAGTTCAGTCGCAATTCGCACATGTCTTGAAACTGCAAACTTCAAGACTATTCGACGGGAAGGACTTCTTCACCTGGTCGTTCGAGTTTGAGCTAATGATGGAAGGCGCGCAGATACTCGGCTTCTTCGACGGGTCCCTGCCATATCCAACAAACGACCCGCAATACGACAAACAGCAGTACACGTATCAGTCAATGATGGCGTACACAATTCCACTGAGGAACATCACTCCGAATCAGCAACAGAACATTCGGTCTTACCGGGGATACGACAACTCCGCCGAACTCGCATACAACCACCTGAAGAACCTGTATCAAGCAACAGACAGCATCAATCAGAGTCGGTTGATGGCGCAATTGACAACAGTGGAAATGAAACCGGGAGAAAAAGGGATGGCGTATATTAGTCGCTGTCGCGAGTTGCGCGACAAGCTTCTTCGATGCGGAGGAACGATATCCGAAGACGCCTTCGTCACAGTCATCATCAGCGGCCTTGATCCGCAATGGCGCTCCACCCGAGCCATTCTCCGAGCCCACGGGAAAATCTCCGGTTTCTTCCGATGCGTTGTCGACATTCTATTCATCCCAGTCTGCTTCGTCCGCTGCTGAGGCGAAGGCTCGGTCACCACGAAAACCACCTGTGGGGTCTTGATTCTCGTGCAAGTTGGCGAGGTACGTTTGAAGGGTGAGTCGCTCGTAGAAGATCACATCACTTGAGTCGCAAGTTTTCAGCAACCATGGTGGACGGTACGAAGCTTCCTATCCACGGCGAAGCATCACTGCAATTGCATATAGGTGCGTTTAGGTGGAAGCCGAAGCTACCAGTCACCAACATCAAAGGATTAGATTTTATCTTGGGGCGAGAGTTCCTGAAGCGGTTCAAACCCGAGATCGATTGGGTCAACAGCAAGGTGTGCATCTACAACAATGGGAAGCGGATAGCATTGCGAAGCTGGACGGATACAGGGGACGTACCTGAAACGACACTAGCACGGTTCGAACAGACGGTGAACAAGAGTAACACGGGTTACCTAGCACTGGTTATGGCAGCAGCAGAGGAGGAGAAGCCGAGTTCCGAGCTACCTGCAGTAG